ATGTTTTCTTCAATAATGTCATCAAACTGTAAAAATTTATCAACTTCTTCATTATTATCATCATTTATATTATTTATATCATAATCTAAATCTTCTTCATTTTGTTCATTAGCTAAATTTAAAATTTTATGAACATCATTTTTTTTTTTCTTTTTATGAATATGCATTTCATTGTTCTTAAATTTAAACTTTTCTTTTCTATGCTTATCTTTGTTTTTTTTTGTTTTTAATATTTTATTTTTCACAATCACTTGATTTTTTAGATCCTCTTCAAAGGTCCTCAAGTGCTTGTGTTTTTTTCTCACTTTAAGTTTACTCATTTTCTTCAAATATATTAAAATTTAATAAGTAGAAAGAAATGAATAATAATAAAAATAATAAAACTATTCAAATATCATTATTGTTTACATAACATTAAAAAAAAAAAAAAATAAGGTACAAATGAAAATATTGAATATTTTAACAGACTCATACTTATTTTTTTTTTATCAAAATGTATATTATATATATATATATATATAATATTTTAATATTAAATTACTTATAAAAAAAAGTAAATATATTATAATATATATATCTACACTTTGATACGGAAAGAAATTCTATATATATATATATATATTATATTATATTATTATATTCTTTGAAATGTTAATTATTATATATTTGGATCCCCAATTATTTATATAAGAACAAGCAAACAAATGGATGATGTAACATCTTAAAAAATAAAAATTATTTAATATAATCAAATATATTATATATATATAAGTACAAATAAATAAATAAACAGATATTATAAATATTAAAATGTAAATATAAAATATAAATACAAAATATAACATTAATATATTATTATATATTCATATAATAATAATATTTTAATTTTTATAAATAATATGAAAAAAAAATTTTAAATTAATTTTATTTTTATATAACGTTATAAAAATTAAAATCCTTACGGAAAAAAAAAAAAAAAATAATATATATATTTATAATATATATTATACATACATATTTATATATATATATATATATATATATAATAATATATATAGAAGTATCATTCATTAGTTTTTTATCTCAAGAATATTTATATATAAGATATATAAATAAAAATAACATCTACAAATTTTTTATTATTTTTTTATTTCTTCAAACAAAACAAGGATATAAACAAAATAAATAAATAAATATAAAATATATATTAATAAATTAAAAAATATATATATTGAAATTTTATAGATTTATATATATTTTACAAAAAAATAAATTTAAAAAATGCTTGTGAGAATTATTTTCAAATAAATAATAAAATATATAATAATTATTATATATATATATATATATATATATATATATATAATATATTAATGCCCGTTAATTTATAATGTTTAATATTATTATAAATTTTTTTTTTTTTTTTTTTTTTTCATTTTGGCTGTTTAGGAAAAAAAAAAAAATAAATAAATAAGGCAAAATTTCCATATAGGTTATATAAGTGGGTTTTATATATATATATATATAAAACCACTTCTATAAAGTTGTAGAATAATAAAAGAAGTAGCAACTATTTGTCGTATTTTATTCTTACAATATTTTATAAGTATCATCTTTTTATTTCATCATATATAAATTTTTAAATAATGAGCATACTGCAATATGATTTTGAAAAAAGAAAATGATATTAAATATATATAGGTATGTTTTTTTTTTTTTTTTTTTTTTTTTCTTTTTTGGCTAGCTATATACGAATTGTTTTTATTATTATGATATTCCTTAATATATTAAAATAATAGGAACTTTTTTATTAGAGAAATAATAAATATTTTAAAAAGGAAAAAAAAGCAACACACAAATATATATAAAATATATATAATATATATGTTTACATTCAACGTGTAAATAATACGAAGATAATTAAAAAGAAGATTAAAATATAAATATATATATATTTTTTCCTATATTTTACAAAATTCCATATTATTTTGAAAATACCATTTGAACTATTCAATTGATCTATAGTGTTCTTTTAATGTATTGTTTATTGATTTTACTACTTTTTATATTTTTTCATTTTAAATATATAAATAATATAAATAATATATGTATATATATATATATTATAATAATGTTATTAAATTTTATTTTCTCAGTTTTCAAAAATTTCATCAAATAAATTTTTATCAGACATATGCTTGTCAAATAATTTATACAAAATCATCATAGAAAATAAAAAGTAATAATAAAGTATAATTTACTATACTTATAAAAGGGTCACATTATATATATATATATATATATATATAATATGATACTTACTATTTTAGGAAGGTATAATAAAAAAAAAAAAAAAAAAAAAAAAAAATTTGACAAAATTATGAGAAAAGATAGTACATAAATAACACCTTTTTTTTTATATTTATATAATAATATATTTATTTTATATCGAATAATAATATTACAATAATTTTAAAGGGTTTTATTTTCTTTATTTTTTATATTTTTCCAAAATTGTAAAATAATACATTTTTCTATGATGAATTTTTTTTACATTTACCTTTTTAAATTCTTCTTTTTAAAAATTAATATAATATTATTTATGGGAAAAAAAAAAATAATAATAAAAATAAAACCAAAAAAAATGTATACTTATAAACCTTAAAAATTAAAGGAATTCAACTACAATATATATTTTATTATAATATAATTAATATAATATTATATATAATTTTATTTCTTATAATATTTATTTATCTATACAAAAACAAAAAAATATTTTTTTAATAAAATACAATCATCATCATTAATAAAAGTACTTACAAATATTATATATATGCATATAAAAAACATACAAAGGGATTTATATATTATATATATAATATTATTTATTTATTATCAAATTTTAATAAAATGAAATATTTTAAAAAATAGTAATAAAATTTTATTTTCATACTTTAAAAAATATATATATTTAACTAATTATGGTTAAATATATATTTATTTAATATTATTTATTTTTTTACAATATATCACATATACTATATCTTTTTTTTTTCACCACAATATATGTATCTCTCAAAAAAAAAATATATATAATAAAAGAAATAATAGTAATAACCACTGTTAACACTAATAAGGGGAAAAAAATAGATAAAAATGAAAATAATAAAATTATATATATATAAATAAATATATATATTATATATATATATTATATATATATGTATATATGTATATATTTTATAATAAAGGATACTTTAATATTATTATATGATATTAAGCAGCAAAAAAAAATTTTCTTATAATAATATAAAATACTTGTTTTATATATAATACATCTATAATATAATTATATAATATGCAATAATTTTATATTATTTTATTTACTAAGGTTAAAAAAAAAAAAAAATAACATGTATTAAAAAAAATTAAGAACTATATTATAATAAAATATTTATATATATATAATGTATAAATAAACTATACTTTATATATATTATATTATATATATATACATATATATATATATATATATATATATATATATATATATATGTATATAATATCTTTATATATAAAATATATATATATTCATAATATTTTGTAAAAAATTAAATTTGTGGAACGATTTTATATTTTTATATTTTATTTTATATTTTTTTCTCATTTTTTATTTGTTAATAAATAAAAAAAAAAAAAGCAGGAGGAAATATTTTTTAAAAAAAAAAAATTTTAATTTTCTGAACTTTTCCATAAAATATAATTTTCTATTATATATATTATATATATTTTTTATAATTTGCAAAATAAAAATATAAACGTTTGTAAATTTTTAAGTAAAAGAAAAGTTTACTTTATTTTAATAATTTTATCATTATTTTATAATATATAAAAATGGGAAGGAAATCAACCATTAAGCCAGCCACAGGAATAGCAGGTAAATATATTTAAACAAATGATTAAAAAAGAAAAAAAAATAAAGAAAAAAAAATAAAGAAAAAAAAATAGAAAGAATGAAAAAATTTAAGTATATATAATATTTTTATATATATATATATTATATTAATAACAATATGTACATTTTATATGTTGTTTTACATGTTAGTATTTTTTTTTAAATATATATATTTTTATATATTTATATTTATTTATGAATATACCTATATGTTATCACAAAAAACGTTACAAAATTTTTTTTTTTTTTTTATTTTTTTTTTATTTGCGCTTCATAGTTGGATTTAATAGTGGACATGTTGTAACAAAGAGGAATTTAAAATTAAATAAGAAAAAGAAACCATTATCTAAAAGAAAAGAATTGATAAAAGATGTAGTTAGAGAAATTACTGGATTTAGTCCGTATGAAAAAAGAATAATTGAATTGATAAAAATAGGTACATCTGCTTCTACTAAAAGAAGTTTAAAATACGCCAAAAAAAAATTAGGAACCCATAAAAGAGGAAAAGCTAAGAGAGAAGAAATTCAAAAGATCGTTATTTTACAAAGAAGAAAAGCTGCTGAAAAACATTAAAACAAAAAAGAAAAACAATCTGATAAAGAAGAAAATATGTCCATTTTTAATTTTTTATATCAAGACAATTTGTGTATTAATTTATATTAATCATGTTTATAAAAACATTGTATTTATAATAAAATATATTTTTATTAAATGTACATATTGATATAGATAGATATAGAATTTTTTTATAATTTATTATTATTTTCTTATATGAATTTTTTTTTTTTTTTTTATTAACCATTTAAAATTAATATATTTATATTAAAAAAAAAAAAAAAATATATATACATATATACCTACATTTGTATGTATGTATGTATGTGTGTATTTTATTTTATTGAATTTTTTTTTTTTTTTTTTTTTTTTTTTTTAACTTCATAATACTATATATCAAGAGCCAAAATGAAAACTTTTGACAACTTTTGTTATTTATTTACTTTTTTTTTTTTTTCATTAATTATTTTATAAATAAGAAAAAGGAATATATTATTTTTTATTTTGAAGCATATAATAAAATGAGATAACATATATATATTATATATTTTATATATATATATATATATTATATATTTTATATATATATATATTATATATATGTATGTATAATATTTCATGCAAATTTTCGTAGGCTAATTAAAACAAGGTATATATCAACCCATGAATTTTTATATGAAAAATTTAAATTTAAATTAAAATTTTTTTTATTTTCCATATAAATGATTTCATTTCATTTTATTGTATTATTATTATTTTATTTTTATTTATTTTATTTCTTTCCCTTTTTTTAAATAATAGTTTATTATGGTTATTTTTTAAAAAGTCCTTTTTTTTTTTTTTTTTTTTTTTTTTTTGTGGAGGAATTAAAGAAAAGCTCGTTTTTTAATATTTGCAAGTACAACATATATATAATGATGAAAAAGGGGCTAATAGAAACCGGAGTGGTAAAAATTTTTAATATAACAAAAAAAAAAAAATAATCATAAAATAATAAGATACACATATATATATATATATATATAATATGTATGTATATTATTTATATTTCTTTTCTGTATTCTTAAAGGGAATATATAAAATTTAAATATTTTTAATATATATATATTAACAGATAAAAAGTAAATGATAATAAATGTGTATATATTATCACACACACATATATATATATATATATAAGTGAGGTACCTTATTTAATTTTAATTTTAATTTTTTTTTTTTTTTTTTTTTTGTCTGTACTGTAGAAAGTATCTTTTGGAGTTCTAGGTGTTTTGTACTTTTTTTATTTGAAACGATTTGTCGTACAAGAATGGGATATTTATCAAGTAAAGAAAAAAGAAAGAGACATTACGATGAATAAAATTATAATTCATGAGGATAATGAAAATGTGAAATATATTTTAGACGAGGAAAGAAATAAAAAGAAATATATAAGAACGTTTGACTATAAGGATGTCAGATGACAAATTATATATATATATATATATATAAATATACATATAAATATACATATAAATATACATATAAATATACATATAAATATACATATTTTTATACTATGCCACTTAAAGTTTCTTTTTATTTTATTAAATATATTTTTCCCATTAATATTTGTTGTATGAAAATTCAAAACATACAAATGGACAAAAAAATAAAACGAAATATACAAATATTAAAAATGTTAGGTATATTTATTTTTTAAATTTGTATGTATGCATATACATAAAGCATCATTTACTATATATTAACATCTACATACATCTCTATATGTATGTATTTTTTGGATTTAAAATTTCTTTTTTTTTTCAAATACATGAAATATAAATAATAAATATAATTGTTATTATAATAATAATGTATACATATATAATATATATGTTATAGTATATATATATATATATATATATATATTTTTTTTTTTTTCTTTTTTCTTGTCATTTTAAAAGATTAAAAAAATATACGCACACAAAATATAATAACAAAAATGCACGAATTTGAATGAGAAATGAAAATTAAAATAAATTATATATATAAATTATATATATAAATTATATATATAAATTATATATATAAATTATATAATATATATATATATATATATATATATATATATATATATATGTATATTTATTTATTTATTTATATGGCAAATCATATTACTAAAAAAAAAAAATATACATAATAATATATAAAAAAAAAAAAAATTTTATTTTTTAAATATTTGACTGGGTCCATATGTGCATATGAATAATTATGAACACAAATATTACAAATAAGAAGATAATAAAAAATCTTTTTATACTGCATAAAAAAATATATTTTTTTTAACAACAAAATTTATTAAATGTTGTATGAACATATATATAATTATTCAAATATTATAATATCCAAAAAAAAAAAAAAAATATAAATATAAAATAAATATGTTATATATATATATATATATATTATATATATGTAATATGCCCTTCCGCAATAATAACCTTTTGTACATTCACATATTTCAACTAATATTATTAATAGTCACTATTATATGTTTTTTTTTGAATATATATTAAAAACATAAATTTATAATTTTGTTTTTAAATGTGTGCATAGTTGTTGTTTCCGTTCAACCATTAAAAAACTAATAGTAAAAAAAATATGCATATATAATTTTTATTTTTTCATTTGCTTTTTTTGTTTTTATTTTTTTTCATCTTTTTCTTTTCATTTTTTT